GATGCTATATCTATAACTCACTATTATTTAAATTACCCAATTAAACTCTCTGTAATGCAACTTGTATCTGTATCATCATTATATCTCCACTATATATGTCAGTCGAGAAGTCCCAGATTCTTTACCCATTTCCTTAAGACTATTTTATCCTTGGGTATCATTACTAAAGCTTTTCATATCCACAATCTGGTTAACCTAGATTCAGTAACTTACGCTGAGTCTGAGGACAAGTACTTGTGAGCCAAGGCTACTATTGTTACCTATTTCCACTCTTGTAGAATTCACTCAAACCCCAGCACCCACTATACGGACTACCAACCATACTTCCAGTTTTTCCTAAACTTCCAATCTAGATAGCCTGGAAGGGCGAATCCCTTTTCCCAGCTAACACGGTGGCCTGGTTGGTGTGATGCTTGCCAAACATCTTGGTTTCATTCAGTTTTTCCCTTTTTTCAGATAATCTTCCTTTATGTAGTACTGTCAAAAGTCTGTGCTACTTCTCTACTCGGATCTTGCCAGGCGGGCTTTTGTGTACTCCACACTCCTAGATTTATCCAGCTGCTTCACTCAGGATTTGTGTAACTCATTCATCATACTAATATTCTACAGCCTTCCTGTACAAGCTAGTATGACCAAGACTACAGATCTATCGATCTGTGCAGTTATGCACAGTGTACTGTAATGTATTCTATAAAATTCAAATTTTGTTACCAGTGGGATTCGAACTCTTGTCCTGTCACTTGGAAGTATGACAACTTACTTACTTCACTAAGTTGCCACACCCTTCTAAAGTATTTTGTTGACAATCACTATAACAAAAGTGTTTTATTTTTTCTGTTTTAGGTTAATTTGAATTCACTAATAGGTATATTTTTTGAAGATATGTTTGATACATGTTTAATAGAGCTTAACCATCTTATTTCAGGTCTTGATCTAACAAGAATTCGTGAAATTTGGCGTATACATTCTCTTAATAAAAAGAGTAAACATTTTATTGTATTGTATGATGATACTTGACATCTATATACATATTTAACATTGATCAATTGTGGTTTTGTATATTGACATTTTTTTGTTACTATGCTTGTCTCATCAAGTGCTAAATTTCATATTGAACTTGTGCCAAAATGTTGATACCTGGATTTATTTGTATTTAGAGTTGATGTTTGTGCTAAGCCTGCGATTTTAGTAATATCAGATGAAAATTTTGATAAAGTTGAATATGATTCTATCAATGTTGATTTTTCTCATTTAGAAAATATTCAAGGGAGTTATGTTTTTATTACTACAACTTCTGAAAAGATGACTCAACAGCAACAATAGGGAAAAGAATTTGGAATTATAAAAAAAATATTAAATTTGGTACTTGCAACTAGTAGAATAGAAGAACTTTATAAAATTCACAAAAACTTTACTACTGATATAAAAATTGAAATTACAAATAAGAGTAGAAATGGTGATAATATTGCAGAATTTATATTTGTTATTAATAATCCTATAGAAATTAGGACAAAAGGTCAACCAAAAGAATCAAATCATGTAAATACAAATATTAAAGGCAAAAGAAAGCAAGTATTTAGTTCTAATCAAAATAATGAGAATAAGATTAGAAGGCCTCGAAAAGTATTAGATGATGTTGATTTAAATAGTAGTAAATCTAGCAAAAATAAAAGAAGAAAATGTAGTATTTGTAATGTAAAGAGGCATAATGCACATACTTGTCACTTGGGTAATTAATATAATATCAAAGAAATCTGATTCTTTATATTTAAAAATTATAAACTATATAGATATTCAAACTAATAAATATTTGTATTGCATATCTGCATAACTAATTGAATTAGTGATATTTATTTGATAAGAGAAGAATTATATCACAAAAAAATTTTAAATTATGATAAAATTCATATTACTAATTTAAAGTTAGTATTTTGATATAAAGTTAAGGTTTTAAGATATAACTTATACCAATTTTATAAAAAAATAACTATTTTTTAT